TTGACACCATTTTATTCATCTTCAACTGCAGTGGAAAAATAGAAACCTTTTACAAGCGCCGGCGTTGTCAGCTCAACTCAAGTTATATATTTATATATTTTATATAAATTTCTTTTTTTTTTTTTCCTTTTTTTTTCCTGTTTTTTATTTTTTTCCTTGTGTTTTTTTTTCCAAGTGCAGCAAGAGACCAAAAACCACATCGAGCCTGATCCGAATCGAGCCCCGAAAAAGCAAAATAAAAAATAAAAATAAATCCCAAATAATTCCAAATAAACGGCTTTTAATCCCATTTTTTTTGTGATTTTTTGTTTTCACATCCAATTTCCTTCTCCAAACATCATCTGAATTTTTAAATATTTTTTTTCATTCTTTTTGTACATATTTTTATTTTTTTCTTTTTTTTTTTTTTTTTTATTTCAATGCTTTTTGAACTCTTTGGCACAATTTTGATTCTGCTACAGTCCGAGTCAGGAGATCTCTTTTCCCAAATTGCAGCACTTTTTTTTTTAAAAAAAAGAAAAAAAATTCCAATTCTTAATTTTTTTTCCTGACTTTTTTTTTTTTTTGGAATTTTTCAAGCCTGAAACTCGCTGGACAAATGGATTTTTCTATTCCCTGCAACCCAAAAATTGTGTTTTTTCCCCCCATTTCTACATTCACAGTTGAATATTTAAGGAAGGAAAGGCGCTTTTGTTGCTGAGCAGGACAAGCCAAGAGCTCCGAACATTCAGCATTCCCTAAAAATAAAATCCCTAAAAAAGCGACTTTCCTTAATTTTTTTTTACATTTTTTTTAAATTTTTTTCCTCTTTTCTACTATTTTTTCCCCATCTCTTACTGCCTGAACCTCAGTTATGAAATGCAACAGCTGAACCCTTAAATTTTGTATATTTTAGATTTTTTTTTTTGCCTTTTTTTAAAATTTTTTTGTCTTTTTTTTTTTTCCCGGAATTTTTTTTTTTGTGATTTTTGGGAAAAAAAAAAATAAGAGAGAAACTGCAATGAATTCTTTTTTTTTCTTTTTTTTTTTTTTTTTTTTTTAATGGGTAAACAAAAGCAAAAAACAAACTCTGTCACAGCCCCTGCTTTGAGGTGTGGAGCTGCATTACAGCAG